TTTGAGAAAACGAAACAGTTCTAAACATGTTGTATATATATACTCATGAAGGCAGTGACCAGTAATGGCTATTGGGACTCAGACCTAGGTTAGAATTCTGGCTACATTACCACTAGCTGTATGACTTTGTGATTATTCTTTTTCTTTTTTTTTTTTGCGGTACGCGGGCCTCTCACTGTTGCGGCCTCTCCCGTTACGGAGCACAGGCTCCAGACGCGCAGGCTCAGTGGCCATGGCTCACGGGCCCAGCCGCTCCGTGGCATGTGGGATCTTCCTGCACCGGGGAACGAACCCGTGTCCCCTGCATCGGCAGGCGGACTCTCAACCACTGCGCCACCAGGGAAGTCCTGGGATTATTCTTTAGCCTCTTCGAGTATACACTGCTTGATCTCTAACGCGGAATAACTTTTTTTTTTTTTTTTTAGGTAAGGAGTGTATTTATTTAAGGAGAAACACACTCCACAGAGTGTGGGCCATCTCAGAAGGTGAGAAAGGCCTAGAATAACTTCTAATTCAGAATAACCTCTAGTTGAGAAGATATGAGGACTATAAAAAACACTGTAAGTAAAACATCTGTCCCTGTGCCTGACACAGAATGCACTTACAATTTAAATTTCCCTTCTCTTAATGACATTAGGAAGGTCATCATTAGCCTCAGGACCTTCTCAGATGTTTGAGTCACTACACCTTATATCTACCACTAGATGTTGGAATTTACTTGACATTCTTGCACTCATCCATTTCTTATCAGCAGCATTTGACCCAACTGATAAAAGGAAAATCAATGATCTAAAGACAGTTGTAATACTTCTGGCAAAAAAACAGGACATACAGTTGAGATGAAAAGTATGGGTTCATGGGCTTCCCTGGTGGCGCAGTGGTTGAGAGTCCGCCTGCCGATGCAGGGGACACAGGTTCGTGCCCCGGTCCGGGAAGATCCCACATGCAGCGGAGCGGCTGGGCCCGTGAGCCGCGGCCGCTGAGCCTGCACGTCTGGAGCCTGTGCTCCGCAATGGGAGAGGCCACAACAGTGAGAGGCCTACATACCGCAAAAAATAAACAAAAAAGTATGGGTTTAAGAATGAAAGTAGGCACGTGGGTATATGTGTTGGTTATCTCTTAGTCCAAGATTTTCAGTTCTTCACTTAAGTAACAAGAATGAAGAGCTCAAAAAATGATTTGAATGTGTGTAAAATAAGGCCAGGACAGAGTGAGGCAATCGAGGTATCCCACTCTCAGGCTTGTGCAGGTAGAGTGGGCACCTGAGAATGAATGCCTCCTTAAATTCTGTATCCTGGGCACCTTACTAGCAAGACGTCAAACAATATCAGGGAAAAGTTTTGCTACTAATAAGTCTGACAAGGATAAGAAAAATTTCCTATTTAGTTAGAGGGGAGTAGGTCCAACAATTTAATCTCTAATGCTGACACCTGTCCTAGGAAAATCTGTAATAAAGACACAATAAAACATAAGGCATTCCTGAAACAGTTTCTCACAAACCTACCAAGTAACCGTAAATTTTCTCTAAAAGTTTTCTAAAAAATACTTAAGAAAATCTCCCCAAGTCACCTCCTGATTTGTTGTATAAAAACAGGTTAAGAGGGCTTCCCTGGTGGCGCAGTGGTTGGGAGTCTGCCTGCCGACGCAGGGTCCAGGAAGATCCCACATGCCGCAGACTGGCTGGGCCCGTGAGCCATGGCCGCTGAGCCTGCGCATCTGGAGCCTGTGCTCCGCAACGGGAGAGACCACAAAAGTGATAGGCCCGCGTACCGCGCAAAAAAACCCAAAAGAACAAAAACAGGTTAAGAATTATTAAAAGCATTATGGTTTACTATAATATCATGATACTTTAAATTCAAATAGAGACCCATTCATGTGTGGCCTCTTTAAATTACCTATATATAGATAGGGGATGGAAGAAGAAAACAGGTAAAAAACAGGCATATATTAATAATTATTGAATCTGGTGATGGTAACTGAGTTCATTTTATTTATTCATTTAGTCACTCTAATTTTGAATTGTTTGAAAATTCCCATATTGATAAGTATAAATAAATTAATGGCATACATATACTACTTGAGTACTATGGACTGGACAAATGCCAACCCTTCTACTACAGTGAAAACTTGGAATAAATCAGACAAATTAGGCTTGTTCCAGAATTGTTCCATCCTCTCAACTGATTTGGATAAAGATCTCTAAGTGCTACGGGGGTACCAAAAAAAAAAAAAAAAGCCTTTACTAAACCCTCAGTTAGTCCCTTACCCCTGAGGATCTAATTTTACAGGTTCTGCTTTGAAAAATTTACATTAGTGTAAAGATGCCTTTTTCTCCCTGAACTGGAATTGCTTATATGAGCTAGAACTCATTTTTACCTCACTCCACTCCACATTCATAGGCCCACTGAATATTTTAAAAGTTTCTGCAGGGTACATGATATTCTGCTCATCTGGATGCCCAAAACTTGGAGAGCAAAGCCCAAACACTTTCAATCTTCTCATCTGTCCTCAGGTAGAAAATTTCAAGAATATTTGCTCAAAATAACAAAGTGAATCAAAAACAATGTCAAAGATACAACTTAGTACCAGCTAAACATTCTAAAAACAGATACTACTGCTTTATAAATTTATTTCTTTATGGAATTTTTAAAAAGGTAACACGGGCTTCCCTGGTGGCGCAGTGGTTGAGAGTCCGCCTGCCGATGCAGGGGACACAGGTTCGTGCCCCGGTCCGGAAGGATCCCACATGCTGCGGAGCAGCTGGGTCCGTGAGCCATGGCCGCGGAGCCTGCGCGTGTGGAGCCTGTGCTCCGCAACGGGAGAGGCCACAACAGTGAGAGGCCCGCGTACAGCACAAAAAAAAAGAAAAAAAAAAAAAAAAAAAAAAGGTGACACACAGGGCTGCTTGAGTGAAAAACGTAGGGTTGAATCTTCTAATGACGGTGGTGATTATACCCTGTAAAGTCACAGTTTAAGCATATACACCCACATCACTTCTATGCCTAGAAGGTGGCTAAAAGATTGCTGATAGTAATTAGAACAACAGTATCTTTTCAAAAATGTGGCTTACTTCATTTTTTGACCTTGATACTAAGTTTCAAAGATAATAAATAGAAGCCAAGGTTACCCAAAGAGTAAGATGAACCAAATGAAGTATCAAAGCAGAGATCTGAGCAGGTAATTTGCAAGTGAGACACATCTATTTCACAGCAAATCCAACTCTCTCTTTCAAAAAGTTCAACAGTGAAATATTCAGAGGTTATCCACTGATTAGCTCAGTGTTATTCAACTCCACATAAAGAATGCCTTAGGCAAAAAAAGGAGAGAAAGTGGCTAAGTTCCTCCATCTTCTCAGTAATGATACTTAATGACCAATCACTCAATTCAAATGAACTTCAGTTACTAGCAGAGCCAATGTACCACTTTGAGACCTACTCTCCTTCATTATATAGGCAAAATTAAAAATGTCAATAGGAGAAATAAAAGGTCTCAAAACTTTAAGGTAAAGTTTCTTTAAGAAAATGATGAAAGAACCGGTTTGTTTCTGAGCAAACACAGGGGTAAGTATTATACAAAGGTTTGCTTTAAGACCCTTGTATTTTAGATACATGCACCCCAATGTTCACAGCAGCACTATTTACTAAAGCCAAGATATGGAAACAGGGGCTTCCCTGGCGGCGCAGTGGTTAAGACTCCATGCTCCCAACGCAGGGGGCCCGGGTTCGATCACTGGTCGGGGAACTAGATCCCACGTGCATGCCACAACTAAGAGTTCGCATGCCACACCTAAGGAGCCCGCGAGCCGCAACTAAGACCCAGCACAACCAAATAAATACATAAACTAAATTAAAAAAAAAGTCTAATCTTTAAAAAACAAAGACATGGAAACAACCCAAATGCCCATCAACAGAAGAATGGCTTAAGAAGATGTAGGGTGTGTGTGTATATATACACACACACACACAATGGAATATTAGCCATAAAAAAGAAGAAAATATTGCCATTTGCAGTAACATGGATGGACCCGGAGAACATGATACTAAGTGAAGTAAGTCAGACAGAGAAAGACAAATATCATATCACTTACATGTGGAATCTAAAAAATAATACAAATGAATCTATATACGAAACAGAAACAGACTCACAGACATAGAAAACAAACCTATGGTTACCAAAGGGGAAAGGGGGGGAATAAATTAGGAGGTTGGGATTAACATATACACACTACTACATATAAGAGAGATAACCAACAAGGACCTACTGTATAGCACAGAGAACTATACTCAATATTTTATAATAACCTATAAGGAAAAAGAATCTGAAAAAGTGTGTGTGTGTATATATGTATGTGTGTGTGTGTATATATATATATATATATGAATCGCTGTGCTAACACAATACTGTAAATCAACTATACTTCAATTTTAAAAAATTTTTAATAAAAAATAAAAATATTGGGCTTCCCAGATGGCGCAGTGGTTGAGAGTTTGCCTGCCGATGCAGGGGACACAGGTTCATGCCCCGGTCCGGGAAGGTCCCACATGCCACGGAGCGGCTGGGCCCATGAGCCATGGCTGCTGAGCCTGCGCGTCTGGAGCCTGTGCTCCACAACGGGAGAGGCCACAACAGTGAGAGGCCCGCGTACCACACACACAAAAAAAAAAAAAAAAAAAAAAAAAATTAACCTAGAAAAATTAAAAAATAAAACAGAAAAGCAACAGGATTTACTGTATAACACGGGGACAACAGTCAATATCTTATAATAATCTATAATGGAAAATAGTCTGAAAATACATATATATAAAAAACAGAATCACTTTGCTGTACGTGTGAAACTAACACAATATTGTAAATCAACTACACTTCAATTAAAAAAAAAAACCAGCCTTGTATTTTAGTACTTGGTTTTCAGCTCAGAAACATGTAGGGTGTGAGACAGACAATCTGTGGGACACAAAGAAGTCATGCTTCACGTAGCTAACCTATGGCTCAATGTCCCAAAGATAAAATTTATTTTAACCATGCTTTTTAAAGGGACCCATTTTAAATACTGCTCTCTTATAAACGCAGAAACATATTACCATTGGATTTGAATCTGCTATGAGATCCCGCAGAGAGTCCAGAAATCCCTGATCTTCCACCATTTGGGCATTGATGTCATGGAGTTTTGCCACACAGACTGCTGCTGTCTTCCGAACATAGGGATCTTCATCCTTTAAGCACTTGCGGAGGGGCTCACAGAGATATTCTGTAATCTTGTCCACCCGGATGCACCCCATGGTTCTGACTGCCAAGGCCCGAATCAGAGGATTGGGATCTTCACAGTCCTATAAAAAACAATCGTTGACAACTACAGGTGTACATAAACCAGAAAACTAAACAGTCTGGTTTATATAAGCAACAAAAGAATATTTAATTAATGTAGGTTTCCAGTTTCATTCTACACCAGAACCCACATCTCCCATACAATTCCTTTCCTAAGTACAACAGTTGCCTATTTAAGAGTTTAGGCTAGGAATTCATTTAACTGCTTTACATACACAATGAAGAAATGCCCTATAGGATTCATTCCAGAGCTGGGCAGAAGCTTAGATACCTGGTGTTACCATCCCCATGGCCATTGTTGGACCTGCACTAAAAGCAGAAAAGGGCTTTGGGCTTGTATTCTGGTACAGGATAAAATCAGAAATTGGGGCTTCCCTGGTGGCGCAGTGGTTGAGAGTCTGCCTGCCAATGCAGGGGACACAGGTTCGTGCCCCGGTCCGGGAAGACCCACATGCCGTGGAGCGGCTGGGCCCGTGAGCCATGGGCGCTGAGCCTGCGCGTCCGGAGCCTGTGCTCCGCAACAGGAGAGGCCACAACAGTGAGAGGCCCGCGTACCACAAAAAAACCCAACAACAACAACAAAAAATCAGAAATTGGAAAGATATGTCCCACTCCACAAATATTAAGCAGGGAGAAAAGAGGGCTGGATATCTGGGGCCTACAGCCAAGAAAGCAAAGGAGAATCTAGAAGCTGGTTTGGGCCCAACATAAGTTCCTTGTGTGAAGCAGCAGAGAGGGCCCTCTGAAATCCTGATTAACATACATTCTCCTTTCCTAGCAAGTGCCTCCAAACACAGTACAAGTAGAACACTTACCAAGAAGGAACACCCCTTAAATTGCTCTATATTAAAAAATTTCTTTAAACATTATAAACCTATGCACATGCTAACTTCCAAAAAATGTAAACTAAATTCTTTCCAATGATATCATCCATCTATGAATCACCAGACAGAAAGAATGAAATCTTATAATGATCCTGTACATTGTAGCTGAACACAGAAAAAGAACAAAAATTCCATGAGAAGGAAGAAAGCATGTTTATTTTCCAAAACAATTTAATAGAAGCTAATTTTAGAAATGCTGTCTGATTTTTGCTTTTAATGTAGACTAAATTCCAGGCAGAGGAAAAGGAAGTAAACAAAACAAAAAACAAAAATCCTAATAAGAACAACCTTATTACTGTGTTCATCAAATCTAATGACAGGAGAATTCTGACTGGATATCCAATAATATTAAGGACTTTCTTTAATGATCAGCTGATTAAATGAGTTTTTCATTCTTAAGATGTTTGGGATTTGCTTTAAAATCATCCAGTAGGAGAGGAGGTGGGGGTCAGGAAAGCATGTATGGAGAGTTAAATTAAACAAAACTGGCCATAGGTTGGTAACTACTGAAACTACAAGGTAGATATTTAGGAATTTATTATACTATTCCCTCAATCTGAATATGTTTGAAAATTTCCACAATAACAAAAAAGTTAATCAACTACTGTAAGACCTATTCAATAAAACAAAATTAAAAGGCAGCTCCTGTAGTTTCCACTACATCTGAACCATAAGCATAATTTCTACAAAGATAAAATAGGTAAAACCCCAGGTTACTGACACTACAATGATATGCCCAACATTTGTCAGCCTTGGAAGATAAAACAGTGAGGTTTCACCTGGCTTTCTTCTCCCACCTGGCAAGGATGCACCAAGCCCAGCTGACAGAAGGCTCACCATATGGTCTGAACTGGAAGACAAACTCTGGCATACAGAATGCTTAAATCATGAATATTCCTACTCAATGGCCAATACTTCTCTAGAGGCCCTCTTTTGGAACAGAGGTTGCTTATTTGCAATGCAGACACTAACCATATCAAGAGACATTTCTGAAAAGGTTTTCTGAGGTAGAAGAGACTGTTCTTGAGTCCCTGGGAAAAAGTTACCTTCACAAAGCTGTTGACAGCCATGATGGCCATGTCTGGCTGACTCTTGGCATAGTTCATCAAGTAGAGATACACGAGCTTCTTTAGTCCCAGGTTGTCAGTCTGCATACACTTCACTACATCTGGAAAGAGAGAGCTGAGAAAAGAGGAAGGGAAAGCGAACAGTGTTGGTGCCAGGCTGTTGGACAGAACACAAAGAAACAGCCTTAATTTAAAAAGTGATT